CCAGATCGCTTCTACGGGCCAGTAAATTGCGCCCCCCCCACCCGATACCCCGCTTTGTTTCCCGTGCTCCGTTGTCCCTCCTACGGCCCAGGACTGGCTTCTCTGGTGTCAGTGGGGAGCTGGGGAGCGGCTGGACGATCCCCTCCCCGTACTATGGGACCGGGAGTGACACGTGTTGCATCCCTTCCGGTCACTGAGCTGTAATTGGTCGGCTCCTGAAGCCTGCGATCTGCACCCCAACAGCTTATTTGGAGTGTAGAGGGGACACCTCCAGCATCACCTTAAAGAGGACCTGTCACCACCGTCTGCTATCACACGGGGGGGCTTGTAAGCCCCTCCCCCATATAATAGAAATCAAAGTAAAGTAAAAAATAAATGTAAAAAATTACATAAAATAAATCTAAAAATGATGTAAACATTGTTTTTTAAAGTCCCGCGAGCACGCGCGTCGCCACGTAAACACGCGTCGGGTGCGCCTACGTATGAAAACGGCAAACGCGCTACACATGTTGGGTATCGCCGCGCACGCCGGAGTGAGGGCGATAATTCCGGGGCCGGTATTTTTGTCTATCTCTAAACTGATGACCTGTGGGGGGGTCTATGGACTCTTTGGGGTACAGAGATCTGTCGCCGTTTCGCGGACGCGCGCAGTCTCTATCCCGGGCGTGTCGGGTGTCTATGTTCTCGCTGTCACCTCCTCTTTTATATGTTGTTGTGTTTTGGGGTTTGATGAGAAGTTGCGCTATTATCGTGACACAAACACTTTCACCTGCCGCCATTTTACTCTCCGGGGTCGCGGCGTCCAGGAAATATCGCGTGTTTGGGCGTTTGAGGTAATTTTCAGGCCTAAAATGTGGAATATAAGACGGGGGCAAAAAATGAGAAAAAGGCCTCGGCCACAAAGGGGTTAAACGAGGTCCACGCCGGCACCGTGGTCATCCTTGGAACGTGTCACCCCTCTAATGCCTTGGCCATGTGGTCTCTGCAGCAGCTGGGAGATGGACGGTCCATGGTTCTGCCAGAACCTGATCCTCTCCTTGGGGTGAGCGGTACCGGGATGGCAGGAGGAGGAAGGTCCATGGTTCTGCCAGAACACTGATCCTCTCCTTGGGGTGAGCGGTACCGGGACGGCAGGAGGAGGAAGGTCCATGGTTCTGCCAGAACACTGATCCTCTCCTTGGGGTGAGCGGCACCGGAACGGCAGGAGGAGGAAGGTCCATGGTTCTGCCAGAACACTGATCCTCTCCTTGGGGTGAGCGGCACCGGAACGGCAGGAGGAGGAAGGTCCATGGTTCTGCCAGAACACTGATCCTCTCCTTGGGGTGAGCGGCACCGGAACGGCAGGAGGAGGAAGGTCCATGGTTCTGCCAGAACACTGATCCTCTCCTTGGGGTGAGCGGCACCGGAACGGCAGGAGGAGGAAGGTCGCGGTCTATGACTTACTATTGTTACATTGAGCGCCATTTATGGGCGTGTTCTGTCTCCGAGGCCCCGCCCTATCCATATATTCCATCCTGGTCCTTTATTCCGATCATGTCACATACATGTAGTATGATATCTGTCATATTTATCTTCTGTGATTACAGACTGTACGAGAGCTACTCCAGAACCCAACAGAACCGGTGAACGACCAGTCGTACTTCCACTGCCTGGACAGCGTCATGGAGAACTCCAAGGTCCTGCTCAAGTCCCCTAACTGTGCAATTGTGTGCAAGCCCAGCATCTCCCTCCATCTTACTGGGTCCTAGAATGGGGACATTGCAGATCAAAGCCCAGCATCTCCCTCCATCTTCCTGGGTCCTAGAATGGGGACAATGCAGATCAAAGCCCAGTATCTCCCTCCATCTTCCTGGGTCCTAGAATGGGGACAATGCAGATCAAAGCCCAGTATCTCCCTCCATCTTCCTGGGTCCTAGAATGGGGACAATGCAGATCAAAGCCCAGTATCTACCTCCATCTTACTGGGTCCTAGAATGGGGACAATGCAGATCAAAGCCCAGTATCTCCCTCCATCTTCCTGGGTCCTAGAATGGGGACAATGCAGATCAAAGCCCAGTATCTCCCTCCATCTTACTGGGTCCTAGAATGGGGACAATGCAGATCAAAGCCCAGTATCTCCCTCCATCTTACTGGGTCCTAGAATGGGGACAATGCAGATCAAAGCCCAGCATCTCCCTCCATCTTATTATGTGTCAGAGTCCTTTATTGCCACCCATGTCTCCTGTATCTACACGCCACATTCTACACGCCACGCACGTCTCCTGTATCTACACGCCACGCACGTCTCCTGTATCTACACGCCACGCACGTCTCCTGTATCTACACGCCACGCACGTCTCCTGTATCTACACGCCACGCACGTCTCCTGTATCTACACGCCACGCACGTCTCCTGTATCTACACGCCACGCACGTCTCCTGTATCTACACGCCACGCACGTCTCCTGTATCTACACGCCACGCACGTCTCCTGTATCTACACGCCACGCACGTCTCCTGTATCTACACGCCACGCGTGACGATGGTCCCTATGCTTTCTCTTTAGGTTCTTGGCGAGTCCATGGCTGGAATTTCTCAGCACGCCAAGACCAGCAATTTGCCGGAGTTTGGTGAGGGGGTGAGCACGGCATCCAAGGCTTTGTGCGGCCTGACCGAGGCTGCGGCACAGGTACCATATCACACGCATGGGCCGTGTTCCGGGGAGAGGCTGCCGGACAACATGCGTCATCTCTGCTCTTCTTCTTCCCCCCGTAGGCCGCATACCTTGTTGGCGTGTCGGATCCCAGCAGTCGCGCCGGCCAGCAGGGTCTAGTGGACCCCACACAGTTTGCCAGAGCCAACCAAGCTATCCAGATGGCCTGCCAGAACCTGGGGGATCCAGCCTGCACCCAGTCACAGGTGAGGTCCCCGGGGCCCGATGGGGGAGGGGTGGAAGACATGCTGGCTGACCTTATAGGGGTGGTATCTGGGTGACGGTGACCTTATA